CCTGATCTGGCCGGATGACCTTTTACTGCTGCTTCATGCTTAATGATTCCTGAATCTCTGCAGTTAGCTCAATACTCTAATTATATATCAGTTAAAGAGCCCTAGACATTTACCTTCTGTCTTGTAGAGAGGTCTCATCTGACCTGTAGCTGTACCAGCCCTTCTTGCTCCATGTTGAGAACAGTGACAATTTTTCAGGGGGAACGGATGGACAGGGCAGTTCTTTAAAAAAAAGAGAGAGAATGGGCAGACTAAAGCAGAAAGAGATGTGGAAAAGCCTTCTAGCGTTGATTTCAGTTCATCTTTATAAAAGCTCGTAGAAACGACCCTAGCTTGGATCTTACCAAAAAGTATCTCCGGACAGAACAGTTTGCACCAGCAGAGTACAGTTTTCTTACCCCGCCTCCTCTTGAAGCCTGAAATGATGCTCCTGGGGGACAGGAGACCCCCCCTCCGCCCAGAACAGCATGAAGTGGGGAATCAGAGGTTTGTCATGGAAAGGAGGAACCGGCAAAACTCAAACCTCTCCTTCTTTCAGAGTTTTTCATTGGGGTCCGATCCTTTATTATGTGAAGTCACCCTTAAAATTGAAATGGGCTGCATGTAGTCCCACAAATTTAAAGCAGAATCTCAGAATCTACATAGTGCCTTTTAATGGGATCAACCAAGACAAGGGGTGAGAATATGCAAGCTTTCAAGCTCTGCAGGACTCTTCATCAGATTTAAAGCAGCATCTCAAAAACAGAATCCACATAGTGCCTTTTAATGGGATCAACCAAGACAAGGGGGGAGAATATGCAAGCTTTCAAGCTCTGCAGGACTCTTCATCAGACTGGATTTCTCCTTAAAAAGGTATAAAGCAGGGATCCCGAACTTTTTTACACCTGCAGCCACCTTTGGAATTCTGACACAGTGTGGTGGACACAGCCAGAAAATGGCTGCTGCAGCTTCCAGTCACTCACACAGTGAAGATCCTTGTGCTGTGGTGGCAGCTACTGCCAAAGCAACATTTTTTTAAAAAAAACTGCACAGCCAATCAAATCTCCAGAGGCCAAAATCCCCACTTACTTTCTAAAAACACTTGGCGGGCACAGTGAAATATGTCAGCAGGCGCCCCTGGTCTAAGGGCCCTGTCTTGTAAGCATCCTGTGTGAAAGGCTGAGCCGATATGCAGATTTCAAATGGTGGTGTGTCAGTTGCACCCTTGGCCCTTCTAAGAGGGAGAAACCACAAACTGAGGATCTAATTGAACATGCAAAGGGAGACATGTGATCAGGTACTGGCCTTTGTTTTCTGTTTTCTGTTGATGCTTCCATTTCTGGCTTCCTCCTGGAAATTCCCTGGGATTACATAGATTTCAGATGCTGTTTCCCTGGGTGGCCCCCATTTGGTTTTTTGATAATTATGGGAGGGCCACCCTTTGCTATTAGACATATGATACTGAACTTAAAGAACTGCGGTGGCTCAAGTGGTTAAAAATCCCCACTTACTTTCTAAAAACACTTGGTGGGCACAGCGAAATATGTCAGCAGGCGCCCCTGGTCTAAGGGCTCTGTCTTGTAAGCATCCTGTGTGAAAGGCTGAGCCCATATGCAGATTTCAAATGGTGTTGTCAGTTGCACCCTTGGCCCTTCTAAGAGGGAGAAACCGCAAACTGAGGATCTAATTAAATATGCAAAGGGAGACATGTGATCAGGTACTGACTTTTATTTTCTGTTGATGCTTCCATTTCTGGCTTCCTCCTGGAAATTCCCTGGGATTACAAAGATTTCAGATGCTGTTTCCCTGGGTGCCCCCCATTTGGTTTTTTTGATAATTATGGGAGGGCCATCCTTTGCTATTAGACATATGATACTAAACTTAACTATGTAAGCAACTTAACAGTGTCTGCTTTCAGGTTAACGTAAAGCCTCTATTCCCTTTAAATCTCTCTATGTTTTACATTTACAGCAACCAATGACTCTGTTCTTCAGGCAGTATACACATAATAATGGAAAGTTATTGGATTTAAAAGCAGTGGCCTAGGCTGCCATCATACACAAGAAATAATCCACTTTCAACCCACTTTCAATGCACTTTCCAACTGGATTTTGCCAGTTCACACAGTAAAATCCGGTTGGAAAGTGCATTGAAAGTGGGTTATTTAATGAAATTGCTGAGCGGACGGGTTAGAACGGATAAAAGGAAGTCCTTCTTCACCCAAAGAGTGATTCACACATGGAATTCAGTGCCACAGGAAATGGTGGCGGCTACAAGCATGGACGGCTTCAAAAGGGAATTAGATAAGCATATGGAGCAGAGGTCCATCAGTGGCTATTAGCCACAAGGTATAGATAGGGGCTCTGGGGCAAGTGATGCTCTGTCTTCTTGGTGCTTGGGGGGGGGTCAACAGTGGGAGGGCTTCTAGTGTCCTGGCCCCACTGCTGGACCTCCTGATGGCACCTGGTATTTTTGGCTACTGACTGTGTGACAGAGTGTTGGATTGGATGGGCCATCAGCATGATCCAGCATTGGCATCTCTTATGTTCTCTTATATTCTTATGTGGGTAACTGGAGCCTTAAAATGGCGTCTCCCCCCCCCCCCAAGAAATAAATCCTACTTTCTGTGAGCATGAATTCTTTCCTTGTGCTTGTGGGGGCAGAACGATCCTAGGGGGAAAAGAGGAGGCGGGCTACCAAGATACAAAGCAGGGAAGTTAAAATCCATCTTGGTGTATAAAGGTGGAGGGGGGCTGCAGGTACTGGCAGAGAGCCCCTCTGAAGGACTCTCTCTGCCAAGACAGCAATTTCGTTTTCCTCTTCCGTGGAATGGAAGCCTAGCCATCATCCTGTGTGGACATGCTCATGGTTCACAAGCTCAAGGCCTCTTTTGCTCAAATGCCGTTCAAGAAATGTAACAGGCGTAAGAGGGACATAACAAAGGCTTCCTTGAAGCATACTCCTTTTTCTCTGAACATTTCGAAGAGGGGAACTTTAAAAAAAAAAACCATATTTCCTTTCTCCCTGCCCTGTCACAACCCTGCATCCTGAAGTGGGGGGAGGAGTAGAAATGGGTCTGATAACTGTGTTTTTTTGAAAAATATTTTTACAATAATTTGTACATATATAATAAATCATCTTCATCAAAAATATCAAAAATCATCTCCAAGAATCTCAAAAGCTATTGTGCAACCTTTTGAAACTTTATTTAACAGAGGAGGACTATTATTAAAGGTTGTACAATAGCTTTTGAGATTCTTGGAGATGATTTTTGATGTTTTTGATGAAGATGATTTATTATATATGTACAAATTATTGTAAAAATATTTTTCAAAAAATTTAAAATTATTTATATGTTATAATCATCTGTGCACGGTACTAGTTGTATGTTGGTTTTCCTACTTACTGTGGGTCCTTGTTTGGTTTTGTGAATTCTTGTATTTAGCCTGGCAGGAGAAATGGTGTGTGTGTGTGTGTGTGTGTGTGTGTGTGTGTGTGTGTGTGTGTGGAAGGGCATTGTAACATCAACGTCACTTCCAGATGAGAACTGGGATGTGACATCAGCATGCTAGGCGATGCTCTGGAATTTCCCACAGACTCTATGGTATGACCATAGAATGTTGGGGGAAGTCGGGAGCATTGGCTGATGTACCTACGTCGTGGCCCCTGGAAGTGACATTATTGTGTTTTGTGATTCTCCTTTCTGGCCCTTGCTCTGCCCCTGAAGCTCCCGGGGCTGCCAGGCGATGGCTTGGTTTTCCCTAACCGGGGGTTTCTCTTGCCTTCCTTGCAGGTCATCCAGCAGGCCTTGCACCGGCAGCCCAACACAGCAGCCCAGTACCTCCAGCAAATGTATGCCGCCCAGCAGCAGCACCTGATGCTCCAGACGGCCGCCCTGCAGCATCAGCACCTCAGCAGCACCCAGCTCCAGAGCTTGGCTGCGGTCCAGCAGGTATGTCTGGGGAAGCAGGCAGAAAGTGGGCAGGGCCTGGTGTGGAGAAGGGAAGGAAGGAGAAAGGCTGTAGGAAGGGGAAAGTAGAGGAGCCCTGCTCCCCTGTGGGCTCAGGGCCTTTTGGCCGTCAGGGAGGGTTTTGGGTCCTGTAAGGGCGTAGATGTGGATGAGGAAGTGTTTTTATATGGGTAGAGGGACCTGGAGCGTTCCCAGTATGGGCAGTGGGCCAGAGTAGGGCAAAGAGCCTGCAGGTTGTTGGGGCCTAGGGGACCCAGTGGAGAGGAGGCCGTGGCCCAGTCGTAGAGCATCTGCTGGGCATGCAAAAGTTCCCAAGATCAGCCCCCGGCATCTCCAGTTAAAAGGATCAGGTAGTAGCTGACAAGAAAGACCTTTGATGAAGAACCGCCGCCAGTCTGAATGGACAATAGTGACCTTGATGGACTGATGGTTTGATTCACTGTAGGGCAATTTCATGTGTTCATGTGGTTACAGGGCTATTTTTGGGCAGGAACGCACAGGAACGGAGTTCCGGCTGGCTCCCAAGTTGGCCACGCCCAGCAGGAACTCATTAGCATAATAGGCCACACCCATCAGCAGAAACTCATTAGGATTGGTTACATTAGGGGTGTGTGGCCTAACATGCAAAGGAGTTCCTGCTACAAAAAAAGGCCCTGGGTTCTGACAACAAACAAGGTAAACAGAATAACAAGCAAAAGGTGGGTGTGGCAGGATAACCACACTTCTGGTAACATGTGGGTGCAGTCTAATGTGCTAATGAGCTGTGCTGTCAGGGGCGTGGCCCAATATGCTAACAAGTTCCTGCTGTTGGGTGTGGCCTATTATGCTAATGAGTTCCTGCTGGGCTTTTTCTACAAAAAGAGCCCTGTATACCAATGGAGAAAGGAGTGGCTTGGGAGTTCAGACTGGGCCCTGCAGTTCCTGGGAACCTTCCTGGTCAGCTCTAACCCCCTTAGAACAGCTGTCCAGCATCTCGTTCCCTTCCACAGTGGCCAGCCAGGTAACCCAGGAAAGGTTCACACAAGCACAGCACGGAGACCAAAGCTTTCCACTGTTGCTTCCCCCCCTCTCCCAGTCTAATGGCACTTAGAGGTATTTTGCCTCTGCAGTGGCCACGCTTTGGGTTCCAATTCCTCACCCCACCAGAGTGCTCTGGAATGGGGGGGGGGGGCTGGTTTTGTAGGGTGTATAAAATAACTTTGGCACACATTCTTCAAATAACTTGGGTGTGTGTACTTTGTTTTTGGGTATACCTGAGACCATCTTTTTGGAACTTGCTGTGAACTCTCCACTAAAACAGTGCCCTCCTGGTACCAGGTTCCTCTTCTCCCGTCCCGGTGGGCTTGCTCTTAATCTGCCTCCTACCGCTTTTGTTTCCAGGCCAGCCTGGCAGCCAACAGGCAGAACGGCTCCTCTAGCAGCAATGGCTCCGCACAGACGCCGCCTCAGCAGCCCACGGTAAGACCCTTGTGCGCACTGCGCAGCTCCCTTGGGATGTCCTCGTCCTGCAGCTGGGGGGCATTGCATGTCTCCGAATCGCTGTAGCGGCATGTTCTCGTGGTGGGTTCTGAGCCTAGGCTGCGGAGGGCAGGGCAGTGCTTGCGGAGGAGCAACCCGTGTTTCCTTTTGGATGCTAAATGGTGGGGCAAGCGGTACCTGCCTTCTGTTGCAGCTCTCTCCCTGGGTTTCCCAATCGGTCTTCATCTCTCTCCCCAGATAAACCTGGCCACGTCCCCGGCTGCGGCCCAGCTCATCAACCGGGCTCAGAGCGTGAACTCTGCCGCCGCAGCCTCTGGCATCGCCCAGCAAGCTGTCCTGTTGGGCAACGCAAGCAACCCCGCCCTGACTGCCAGCCAGGCCCAGATGTACCTGCGCGCACAGATGGTAAGACACTCGGCGGTTTCCCTCTGAGCGGCAGAGCCTTTTACAGGCGAACGGTGCTGGTTTTGTGCAGCAGCCTTTGTGAGTCAGAGCTCACTCCATCTTTCATTGACCGTAGTCCTGTCCCTGTTCAGCTTCCCCTTTTATTTCTCTTGGCTGGTGGTGTCAAGGGAGTCACACTTTCTGTAGTTAAAATTTATTTTTTTCCTGCTCTGAAAGTCAGGAGCCTGTATGTATCCTCTCAGCCTTCGGAATTGATTTCTCCCCCTCTTCTCTCATCTTATATATTTATTTAGGGCTTGTTTTGTTGATTCGCCCGTACGCTTTGGCACGCAGGCGCGCAAATTGACCTGAGTCTTTCAATTATTTATACAGAGGTCTGTTTCTTGTAACTTTAAGACGAATAACTCCTGGGGAGTGTAGCCCGTGACCCAGGCTAGCCTGACATTGTCAGGTCTCGGGCACTAAGCAGGGTCAGTCCTGGCAGGCAGTGGCAAACCGCCTCTGTTCAAGTCTCGCCCCACAAACCTTATGAGGTCGCCATAAGCCGGCTGTGACTTGACGGCACTTTCCAGCACATGTTTGATCCTCTCCGCATGTTTTCCCCCCTCATAAGCACCGTGTCAAAATGGTTTCATGTGTAGCCTCTTCCTGTTCCAAGCCTTTGGCGTGGGTGTGCGAATGATTCCCCTTGATCCTCCGCCACTCCAAACCCCGTTGGAATAAAAACATTGAGTGGTGCTTCGGGAGAGCCTTCGGTGCTTCTCCAGGGAAAGATGACTCCAGAGTTTCAAGCAAAGCCCCCTTCTTGTACTGTGCCTCCGCTCACCCTGGCGCTGCATTGTGGTATGTAAATGATTTTTTTTTTACAAAGTGTTCCAACAATGATGTAATTCCTCCATACCCCCCCCCCCCCCCAAGTTCTCATGCTAGGATTTCTCTGCTGGAGCGGCAACGGGTGATGTATAAGGGCAACCCCCGTTTCCTGTGATTTCCAGGCTCAGCAGAGCAACCTTGTGCAAGTAGCTAGGAGCCTAGGCCGTGCTGTTCCTTTGTCCCCCCAGCTCATCTTCACGCCCACAGCCACGGTCGCTGCGGTGCAGCCGGAGGGCGCCACCCCCACCACTCAGCCATCCACCACCACTGCTCAGGTAAGATCCGGGGGCCAGTCGGCTCCAAGGGAGGGGGGGGGAGATCCAAGCCCCGTGGACCTTCAAGAAGCTGGCCCGTGATACCTAGCTGCCTTCTTTCACCATGGTCTTGCTCTTACTGTTCTTCCCAGCAAAGAGCCCCTGAGCACCCTTTGAAAGCCATTGCAGTTTACCACGCTGGTTTGAGACGGGCCACGGTAGCTGCCCTTGGTTTGGGCAGACTCAAGACCGGCCTTGGATGCGATTGGGTTTGGAGGGGATAGAGCATCACCTGTTTCTTTTCTTTTGCTCCCTTCTCATACTGCAGGTACAGAACTCAGCTCTGCGCACCCAGCAGACAGTGACTCAGGGGCTGACTTCCTCACCCGGCCAGCAGCTCCCTACTTTGGCCATGAAGCCTGCCCCAAACAACAACGGCAACCCCTCTGCTTCTTCGACCTCTCAGGGCAAGGCTGCAGGGCTGGCCCCTGGCACCAAGGGGGGCTTGCCCGAGCATTCACAGGAACAGCTTCGAAAGGGAGAAGGGGGCGGCGGAGGGGGCGGCACCGGGGCAGCTGGCAGTTCAGATGGACGGGGGAACACTGCCACCCGGACGGTGACGCCTGTCACGACTCACCCGCTCATCGCCCCGGGTAAGTGTCTTGCCCTCTTCCAGCCGGGCTCCAAGCCCACAGGGTGCCAGACAAGTTCTGTAGGAGCTGGGCTGGCTTGCAGGAAGGCAAGATAGTTGGCCAATAAAAGGCCAGACCCCAGTGGAACAGCAGCAGCAGGAGGCTGGTATTTGATGGGACTGGGTGCTTGCCCTTCTGTACTTGGCAGGGGGAAACCAATTTGATCTATTTGGGGTGTGTGCAGCCAATATCTTGAGTTTTAAGAGTTGGAATAATCTGAAGGTGCATACAAATATAGCACTGAGTGAGCAGCAGCTGGTTGTAAAGCAATCAGTGATGAATATTGGTTTTAACAAAAAAAAAGAGGGCAGGTGGCAGAGGTTGGTTTTTATCCGTTCTATAGGTGAGGTCTTTAAAAATGGTTGAGCATGCTTGCAACATGGTAGAGCGCTTGAATGGAAATTATCTGTCTCTGGAAAGCACCTATTGGATGGTACCTGGGATGTTAAAAATCCACCTCTCTCTCTGATGATTTAAGAGAATTTTAAATAACAGAAAAGAAAGAAGAAGTGTTGATGTAATTTTGTTATAACTTTATAACAAGTAAGCATTAACTTTAGATTTAGTATAAGTAACTGTATTTGTCGTTGAGAGATTTTGGAAGTTTTACTGGTATGGTCCTTGGAATTTTTCTTTTTTCTCGATTTTTTCTCTTTTTATTTTCTTTTTTTACTTTACATTTTTGTTTTAAAATTCTTTATATATGTATATACATATGTGTGTGTTTGTGTGTGTGTATATATGTATATATAGAACCCAGCTCTCTCTCACCTGCTAATTTTGAGCAATTTGACAACTCTTAAAACTATTTGCATTCTCTTGTCATGGAAACCGCACAATTGGGAGGAAGCGGGGCTCCCATTTTGTGGCCCTTTTAGTCCTGAGTCTCTGGCCAAGGATAAGAAAGTCGTTTCCACCATAGCAGATCAGAGCAGCAGCATTCTGAGAGTAATACGGTTTCTCAAGCCATCCTCCTCGAGGCTGAGAAATGACGAGCCAGGACCAGTGAGGAATACAGCTGCTGGAGGACAGATGTCCGATGGCTGCACATCTCCTCTTCTGTCTGTCCCAATCAACATCTGGATTGCCAGCAAACCCCTCAATGCTCCATGAAGTCAGCAGTCTTGAAGCCAGCTAGCAGGGAACGCCAGCGGCTTCTCCTGTGTGCTGATCCTTAGAGAAGGAAAAGGCTCTGGGATGGGGTTTCAGGCTCAGAGTGGAGCTGCCTGAAACTCCATCGCTTTCTTTAATAAAACGTACAGCTGCAAATATGTGCTTAGAAGTACATGGCCTGGGTTTGCAGCTCTGGTGGCTGGAGATGGGGGTTCGGCCTCTTTCTGGCGGGCTGCCTCCGACTAGCAAAACTAGAACCCGTTCTGCAAAAACACGGTCTTAAATAAAAGCAGGTGGAAGACATATGAACAGCAAGACAGAAATAAATGCTTATTTGT